TGATCAAGTACAGACTGTACTTCAACCAGGTAAATTATACCTGCCCGGAAAATTATACCTGGACGTGGTGGCCTGTGGATAAAACCGTTGGATAAGCAGTTGTTCTGGCATTGTCCCAATTTTTACAAAAAAAAGAAAAAAAGAAAAAAGGAAGTTCTGGACGAGGGCGGAGTGTGCGACTACTGCCTGTGTGGCGGACACCTTTGTGTGACGTTGTGTGTGTGTGTGTGTGTGTGTGTGTGTGTGTGTGTGTGTCACAGACCCTCGTTTGGCTACGGTTTTAAGGGAAGTTCTGTTTGACGAGATGTATATTCGTTAAACAGAGCTGCCGACGGTAAACCGTAGGCAGAGAGGGAGGGAGAAAGAGAAGAGGACAACAAACGAGGGAGGGGCTGTGACAAACTGTTTCGTCGGAGTTTCACCTACCTACTCATCAGGAGACTGAACCTAGATAAAAGAGCGAAGCCCAAATCTCCGGGAAAACATGCGTTCTTTCTTTGCATCAATCCCACGGTTTTATGTGTGTGTAGCGGGAACTCTTGGCACGATCCCCCCTGATATACCCCAACTGGGACGGACTTCTTGCCAGGCACGATCCCCCCTGGTATACCCCAACTGGCAAGAGAGGATCCCCCCTGATTTTTATATGCTTATGTGGTGTGTAGCCAGGCTGTTGTTCTTGCCAACCGGCTTACCTCCCACCTCCGAGCCTATTTTCGACGTGGTACTGGCCAGTACCCGAACTTTTAGGAGGCCGGGCCCGACAACGGTTGCCGTTGATAATCTGATCGGCGGCCGTCGTTTCGTTTCGGCCTCCTGAAAGGTCGGAGGCCGAGTATTTTCGAACCGTCAAAGGTACTGGTGGTATAAGATGTCTGCTTGACAGACTTGTCTTCTGGCCATCCGTTCTTCTTGCCATTCGTCTTCCCTCTCTCTCTCTCTTATAACCATATAGCTTGGAGCGCACGGAAGGGAAGTTAGTGGGAGAGGCAGGATTCGAATCTGCGTAGAAATATAACCTTCAACAGATTTACAGTCTGTCGCGTTTAACCACTCGGACAATCTTGCGAAGGGAGAATTCAGCATCTTACAGGACTTTTGTGACCTTCAGAAGGAAGGGAAGGAAGAGAAAGAAGAGAAAGAAGAGAAGGGAGGGAAGGCAGGGAAAGAAGAAAAGGAAGGAAGAAGGGAAGGAAGAAAGGAAAAAAGCAGCGAAGCACAGATCAATTAGCTACTTACCTCCATCAACTCCTCCTCCTCCTAGCATCACCTTGTTTGCCGCATTCACCTGTTCCTCAAACGCAATAACAGACAGAGAAGATACACGCGCGCGTTCGACCGCCCGATCCCTCTCGTTCAGATTACAAATAGGATCACACTTCGCATACACAACACCTCTCTCTCTCTCTCTCTCTCTCTCTCTCTCTCTCTCTCTCTCTCTCTCTCTCTAGCGAGAGAGCGAGCGAGCGATCTGTGTGTGTGTGTGTGTGTGTGCTTCTGCCTCTCTCTTCATGTATGTTTGCAACGCAGTCGATCAGCTGTGTTTGTTTCCGCCGAAACATCGTATTTGATGTACATTCACCATCCACTAGGCGAGGAGGCTCGCCAATCAATCACACACACTCGAAGCACTTGATTCATCAAAATCACCGTTCTGCACGGCAAAGCTTCCCATCAATTCACATACTCCAAACACTCGGCCAATCTCTCCGGATTAAAAACTCATAGTTGTACTCGAATCATTACACAAAAAGCTAGACGACTGCGTTCCTGTCGATTATTTGATTGATTGATTGATTGATTGATTGATCCAACTTGCTTATTAACTTCCCGATCGCTTAAGTGACTTACCAAATTGATAAACTCCTTCACGTCATCATTGATTTGTTGAATAATCGATTGATAAAGGATCTCCCAGTATCAAGATTTATTGATTGATTAACTGATTGGCTGATTGATTGAGTGAGTGAGTGAGTGAGTGACTGATTGATTGATTGACTTAAAGAAAAGAGGGAAAAAGAAACCGTTCTCATGGCCACAGATCCGTTTTTTAAAGCACGTCTGTTTAGACAAGCCTTTCTTTTGGCCCCAGAACATGGTCCCATCTTCATAATGATCCAGTTTTTTCGATCGAGTAGAACACGGTAATTCCGAATTGATTCTCGTTGGACGATATTTCCACACCTCCAGCGGCTTTCTAAAATGGTAGCTTCTTCCCTCCTTAGGACATACCCAAGGACTTTTTCCACTTCTCTGTGGACGTAGCTGCGGTCAGGTGCATCCAGGCCGGGTCGGAAAAGCGGTCAGATTCATCATAGGAAAGTCCTCGTGTGAGTATGCTCTTACAGTTGCTGTCTGGGACAACAGGTGCACGAACGCGCAATGACATGTAAAAAAAAAGAAAAAAAAAAAAAGAAGGAACACGTAGAACGTCAGCTATGATCACCGCTCGCCCCACTCGCAGAGTACAAACCCTCAGGGCATTCTCACAACGGGCTTTTTTGAAAACTCTCTCTGCACGAGCGAGATGCATCCAAAGACGGCCCTTATTGCGGTCAGATACACCCAGCGAGAAAACTTGTAGGGTGGATACGGCTATCCCCTTTCCTCAACCACACCTCCTACTAAAATCTCTCCTCCAGATTCCTTCTTCCTCCCCACCACCCCTTTTTTGAAAACTGTCTCTGGACTAATTGCAGCAACATGCATCTACAGATGGCCCTTATTACGTGTTTGTGTATGTTTGTGTGTGTTTGTGTATGTTTG